TTGTTTTTGCTAATTTGTACGCATCCAAATGACAATGCAGCAAGCAAGTAAGTTCTGATTGGCTGAACTAAAATGCCTTGATGATATATATATGCTCATAAAAGGGCTTGCCTTTCACGGACGAGTAAAAAACAAACCCTTTTTATACAAACACCCATACCCAGGGGGCGGAAGAGAACTTGAGGATCACACCAATATCAACGCCAACAATTCCAACAATGTCTTCCCCGAGTCATCATATTCCTGTCTTCCTTCTGCTAAACATTTTCTTTCTCATTTCTGGCGGATGTGCGGTATCACCTTTCCATGACTGGGCGGAGGAGGGCGGTTCGCCGTCGGAGGAGACTCTAAGTATGTCAAAGCGAGCAACTGGTGCGTTCGTGACTACAGAAGAGGATCGTCCGCGCATTCTTTGCGGCCAAACATTGATTCACACGCTAAAGGAACAGTGTGGGGCACGTGGAACCTTCTCACCCTACCACAAACGTGCTGTTCGTGAGCTGATCCGTGGGGCTAGAGGACTTCCTAGTAAGTTTCATTTTCCCCTTTCCCATCATTGTATAAAATTTTTAGGCCTGTCAGACATTGAAGACGCTCCAATTCAAATACGTAAGCGATACGATGATATTTGTGAAGTGTATTTGCGATACGAACCCGAGAGTCCATTGTCGCAATGCTGCTGCTTGGGCTGTACAAGAGCTTACTTGGAAAACTTTTGCGCCGAGGCATAAGAGCAAAGCGAAGGAAGTAGTGGACTCCCAAAAATTCCCGATTCTTCCACCACTCTCTCCCTACCTCATTCCACTTTTGTCAGGTCTCCTACACTTTATCGCTGGAAGATCTGGATCCTACAGGCTCGCGTGAGAGTCTCTCTCCACCACTCAGCCTGCCAGTCAGTTACAAAGCATTCCCCTTCTTTAATATCCCCTCGCCTCTGTTTTCTTGCCGTTCCCTTCAGTCTTAGTTCGAGCTCTTCCTACAAACTTATTCATAGCAAAAGGATCCTGTGTTTATAAAGAGTTTAGTGCATATAACACCTTTTTAATTTTGCTTATGCTGCAGCTGCAGTATTAATGGGGTGGGGGGTGGAAGGAGGTAAGGAGATTTGGCAATTTTTCGTTTGTTCAATCGCTGCCCTTTGAACAAAATGTCTAGTCAGGCATCCATGCGTTCGGCTGGGAGGAGGAAGCCCATTCCCCCGTCCCAAGGGAGGGAAAGGCGAGCAGATCATGACACATTAAAAAATGCAAAAGATCGGACGCTCTAACGCCCACATCGTCGAATGATTTGATAAAACAGAAAAATGAGAAGCAGGGTAAAATTTCATGCGATAAAGTACACTGGACCTTAATTGATGGCACTGTGAACATATGTTAAATAAAAAAATTTGAAGTTATAACTTCTAGGGAAATAAAAAGTATTTTTAGAAGTACAAATGTAAACAACAAGCGTCTCTAGCCATTTCTGAGTGCGAAAATCATGCAAGTGCATGAACAAGAGTAGCATAGTGTATTTTCCTTTTGCATTAAAAAGGATTACGCCCGCGGGCAATTTTTAACAAGTGACTGTAAAAAATTTATTTTTACAAAGTAGAATCACTACAAACTGGAAGGCCTTTTCAAACCTGGACTAAAGTCTAAAACTTATCTTAGCATCTTTCAAGGGATTATATTATCTCCTATAAGTACAACCCGGAAGCTCGCTCTACACCAAGCACTGCGGCTTGACTTTGGCTTTGCTAAAACTAAGATTCCGAAGGGATTATATTTTGCAAAGTAAACAAATCACTACCATAGAGTTTGTACCGATTGTGTTATGAAAATAATATTGCATAGTTGTATGTCCTTATTGTGTCGTGGGTTGTACAACTCTATAGTTTGTGCAAATTTCCTCCTCCTTCATCGCTCCTCCACTGCCGTTACAGGAACAAGCAGCTTACTTGTAATGCGACACTTTAGCTAGCAGAGGTACTGCAAAAATAGAGCGTATAATGTTTCGTAAGCAGGTCAGCTTTTAACTTCTCCTAGTGCTTGAGGAGATTAGCCGCTTCTCAGACACTGGTCAGAGAGTGTCCTCCATTTTCTCAACTTGAAGTTACATTGTAAGATCCATTGATAATACCCAACCTATCGTCCATTGTGAGAGCAAAAGTTTTCCTTATTCCACGTGCCAATTTGCCCGTTCTCCAATTGAGTGACAAAAAATGAAAGAAAGTTGCAAATCAACACCGAACTGGGCTTTAAATCATTAAGGTAAATGTAGATGTGTTTTTGTTAAAAATAGGTGGCAGGTTTGAAGCTTCTAACCATATATTTAAAAGTGTATTAAGTATTGCATTAAAAGGTAAACATGGTAGACATGACATATATGATTAGCCATTTCCTTTCCGTAACAACGTGATTCGAACAATTAGTTTTAGCCTTTGGAGACAAACTGCCTAAAATATTTGGCTCTATGTTGAGGATAATGCGATAAATGCGGCCGCATCTATTATAAAAAAATGTTAAACAAGTTGCCCGAATGATTTTAAAGCGGTTGAACTTTAGAAGTGTTTGTTAGATGACTACCCTAACATTTGTCAGACTTTATAGCTTTGGGCATTTCATTGTGTCTTGGCGTAAAAATCGCATCAAGTTTGCTTCAATTAACTGTTTATAAACGTCTTAGACTAATAAGCTCGTGAAGGTCATTTTGTGAAGGCCAATTTACTGGTCGGTTTCAAATCGCCCTTCGGTATTTCCTTCGTTCAGTAAAGGCAGCATTGTATACCACGTAAAGTCAGAAAGGTGTGTACCGCAGCATTCAAAGCTGGAATGCATCGATTTCTCTTAAAATAATTAAATTTAAATCCTAGTATGAAAGCAAAAATTGCCCATTCACCTGTATTGCTTTGCACGGATTTTTGTTTGAGAACTGTTTTTTTAGGTCACATGTTTTGATAACAAGTTTGCGTGATAAAAAACACAAATTATGGTGCTTTGTATGCACCGGATCAAGCATTCTGATCTAAATAGGCAATGCTACAATGTGCGGTGTCATAAAAAATGTTCCTTTTTGAATTTAAACATCTATTCTTCATCATACCTGTTTTTTATTGCAAGATAATAACCTTGGCTTGTCACAATTGCACTTGGACCCATTGTTAATGCCTGCTAAATGCAATAAGTATGAGTTTTGAGAAAAAAATGGTAGTGAAGAAGGGCGTCTTTAAAAGTCCCTACGTTGGCCGCTTCTGTTTCGGACGTGGGCATGTGATTGTCTAGACATCCAAACAGCTGTCAAATCATGGTCCTTTTGCCCTTCCTGAGTGAGCGATAAAACCTTGATTAAAATGCTTTATTAGTGTGCGGCGTTTGCTAGTCAGCTCATTGGTGTATGCAAAACAGGAGGGAAGTACTTCTGAAGAGTGACTATATTTTGACAACTTGGACATTTTTTTGAGCATAGTGGCTAATTTTTGAAATGCGATAAATAGTTATTTGTTTTAAAGACCCTCTTCTTACAAAGTTAAGAAATTATCGAGACTATACGGCAGTGCTAAGCAAGGGGTGCGGCGCTGTCTTTGGTTAAATCTCTCAGTCCCTATGAAATAAATGCCCAATTTTCCAACTCACATCTCTTAAGCAAATATTTTAAGGACGAAAGCTACACATATATTTGATTTTTACATCATACAATTGTGATGCTTACTTTTATTATGTCTAGCGAAGCAAATGTGAGAAAGTGTTAGGCTAAAAGCGTTTCCATAATTAAAAAGGAAAAACAATAGTATAAGAAACTCTTTTATTTGAATTTTGCAAATTGTAAAGAACGTTTTGTTTTTAAGTCCGTCAAATTGCCTGTTTTGTGGAAGGCATTAGTGTAAGACACTGGTCAACCCGTAAGCCTTGTAAAGGTCACCAAACAAATAAAGTATCTTGGAATCGTTATTGAGTCGCATAATTAGCTTACAAGTTTCCGTGTATGACAAATGGGATTGAGAACGTCTTCACTGGAAAAGTAGGCAGATCCCTTCAACAGTTTCGATTAATGCACTTATGCAAAAGTTGGAAGACCTCCTCACTTCGTGCTACCAACGCTTCCGTATATTCAGAAGTTTCCTCTTCAGAGATGACACCTTAAAGTCCGCATTTTAATTATTAATTAGCAACTGACTTTACTTCCGACAACTTCTCACTATCATACAGTAGTAGCTGGATTGACAGCTATGGGATAAAAAGTGATAGGAAGCAGTCAAGTTTAACCAGCGAGGTGGTTTGTTACAAAGTAAATATCTCATATTTTAGGGCCAACAAAACGAGAGAGAGAGAGGGAGAGCCGTCACACTGACGCTAGGCTGCTTGTTGTATCACTCAGTTCAGCGAATGTTTACCTGTCATTGGCATAGAGTGTGAGAACTAAGGCCATGTGTAGAAGCGGCGCCATTTCTTCAAACCCAAATCCGCAAATACAGTGATAAATTTCCATACCATCTGACTTTAAGTTTATAAGATACTACTTAAGAACACACCTAGAAGCTGGAAGACCTAGAAGAGACCAAATAGGGCTGCAGTACACTTCTTGTGTGTAGGAGAGGGAATTTCCTCCTATAACCTTCACAACACGTATATCAAGCATTTGTTTAAATCAAGTTACTGGGACTCAATCTTGTCACCGGTCATTCGTTCACCAGTTGCACTGATCTAAGAGTAGAGGGCAACATTGTGGAGTGGAGGAAGAGTAAAAGACAGCCGCCATGTGATGGAGTGACATTCGGCAAAACCATGACGCTCCTATGTGTTAGCACAATTTAACAATCGAAATCACGTAAATTTGACTTGCATGTCGTGTCAACTTGTGAGCCACGATGGCATTTTAAGTGTGTAATGCAAACGAGGAGGAGAGAGCATTCAGTGCACTTTTTTATACCCTCAAAGTGCGCACCTATGAATAAAACATTCGACTACACCTCATAATAGACCTCAAATCTTGGCACTCAACGAGGGTGAGGAGAACAAATGGCAACATTTCCCCAAAATGGTAGTGAAAACTGATGCGGCAACAATTTATGCTAACACTCACTCGCATGTCCATCTTCACCTCAACAAAAATGAGTGTCCTCCACTTTTATTTCCTCCTACCAAAAAATTACTGAACACCCTAATTAAGAAGGAGGGGATTAGGGCTCCAAAAAGCTGGCGATCTTTCTTCTCATCGTAGGATGAAAAAGAAAGCACCAGAGCCTGTTGTCATTCTTACTCTGACGTCCCACTTTAATTGTGGTCCTCGCGTCAAAGACATTCACATGTGTGGAAGTGAAGGAACAATGAAGCCAATCTTGCCGACTTCCGTGCAGTTAGTTGTGTGCTCCTTTGAGGCGCGGCGTTGTCCTTTTTTTAGCCTCCGCAGTCTTCATGGGTTTAAACATTGTTCAAATGACGTTGACAGCCATTTTACGCCTAAAGCAGACTCATTGTGACAAGACGCTGACAGTGTGACGTGGAGTTTTATTTAAAATGAAAATAAAGGAACAAAATTTCGTTTCCATTATTAAAAGTGCTTATTTTACGCAACTTTATTAGGCGGATACTGGCAAGAAGTCCAAATCCCTGCATGTCACCAAAATCGCATGCTTCATCGTAAAAGGACATTCAAAATCCCTGCCAAAAGTTATTCGTTGACAAAAAAAAAAGGAACGGGTAAAGTACACTCTGCAATAGCAGTACCCTTTGAAGCAATATGACCGCTATTA